CCTTTAATAAAACCCCCAACAAATCTTTACTTGATTGTGAGAAGAATATCGCCGTTAAAAGTGCGAATTCTTCGGTGGTTAATTCGGCTTCCTTAACAGTCTCAACAGATTTTGTGAATAAACGATCAGTTAATTTAAATAATCTAAATATTATTTAAATTTAAAAAATTTATCGAAATTAACATACAAATCATCATTTCTAAAATGTTTACATTCAATTATGCTTAGTGCGGGCATAACACAATCTTTACGCATAAAAGTATTAACACCAAGTTCATATGAAAGGTAACTATTAACAAAACAGATAAATGGGAATGAAATGTGACGGAGTAGAGAAATCTGAAAATTATCAAAAAATTATAGGAAATTTCAGGAAAATTAAATTTGGAAATAATTTTGGGAATTATTCAAATAATAAATGATTAATAAACGTAAAAAACAAAATAATTGAAATTATAAAAATCTAAGCGATTAGTATTAGAGTTGGAAAAGACGAGACTGATACCGAGACCGATACCGAGATTCTCGGCTTTTTTCCAATATCGGTCTCGGTTTTTTCATTCTCGTTCTCGAAACCGATACCGATATTCTCGGTCCATTTCTCGACGAGAAACGATACTGACTAAATGAAACATTCCCGAAAAAAACCACATGAAATATATCCCCAACTTCGATGATTGTTAAAAAATAGAGCTCTATTGGGAGGGTGGGAGGTATTTTCATAAATAAGTCTTATTAATTTTGAATAAAAAACTATTCATTTTTTCAAAACAAAAATATTACCTGATCAGATAAAGACAATTTATTAAATACATGCATTGTTTTTGCAATAGCAACACAAACTAATTTGTCGACAATTAATTGTTTAATATTTCGTTTGTTAAATATACCAACATTATCAATTTCTAATTTCAAAATAGCTAATTTCTCTAAGGAAATAGGCAAAGGATTTGGCTTAAAAAAATAAAATAATTTTTAAAAGTTTAACGCTGATAAAGGGGATTATTATGTGGAGATGATTGTGGAACTTTGGGTCACCCCACATACTCTCCTTTGGGAGATGCTTCTTTCTTGACTTTTTTGAACATATCTTTTTGAATATTTCACAAAGCTATCGAACTCTTCGAAAAGAAAATCCAATTAAGTTCTGGATTCCGGAGCCTGAACTTACGGTGAAACCCTTGTAACAACATTTAAATATAGGTTATTTAATTACGTAAAAAGCTTCTTCAATATTACCCAAATTTTAATCATTTTACCGTAAAAGAATCAATTTGTGTAAATATGTTAATTCCGGAAAGAATAATATCCTCAAACTTCATTGGACAATTTAAGAATATATCGTCTAAATCTGTAAATGCATGCAATATTTGTTTTGTATCATTAACAATTTGTAGTAGAGAATCAATCTCTTGCCGATCAGTTTCACTAATCTTGAACGGAGTTTCAACAAAATCCTTGATTTTAATTTTCATTTTTTATCTTTAGGCAAAAGTTTACCTTTTGATTTTTTGAAAATATTTTTCCATCCTCGCCCCCTTCGGTATTTGCATCTTTATTGTCAACATCTTTCACTGATTCAGGACAAATATCGTAGCGCAAATATGGAATTTCTGAAATATTTTTAATGTATTAATCAAGAAGAGTATTTTCCTTTTAAAAATATTCAGATTATTTTTTAAAAATCCAAATTAAAGATCAAACCGAAGCAAGTTTAAAAACTATTTATATGAAAGGAGCTCAAAACTGCCCAGTAGGGGTATTGGAAGTTGGCCCATGTCCTTTAATGAATGAACATACACAAGATGGACCCTTCTTCCATATAATTGATGTATGATACGTTAAGGAGACACATATGGGTTGTGGTGATTAACAAAACTTCCTGCTTATCTACGATGGTTCTAAAACAATAACTAATAGAATAGCTATTCGTACATGGAAATATAATGACATTTCTGGCTTTCATGGACTTAACCAAAACGTAACTCTAAATAAACTCATATTTTTTAATCTCTCCCCAGCTCTCTTCCATTCATTTTTAATTATTTTTTAAATTAATTATTTACTTGGTTTTTTCATTCCAACAGCTAAACACTTTTCAAGCCGACAACCTTTACAAACTAATCGGAATTCTTTATTTGTGTTTTTATCAAAAACAATTTTACTTTTAATTTCAGTTGTTTTTGTTAAACAAATACAATCATATTTGCCTTCTTTTTGTTCGAGATAACGACTTTTTAAATATAATTTAATAGAAATTTAATTAAATTAAAAAAATACGTAAAGAAAGCTCCACAAGCTTTACATGTACGGACACAATAATGATTGTAAACATTTTTTGTTGACCCACAAACTTTACAATCCTTCACAAAATTTCTATTCATTTTAATTAATTTCTTCTTGAATATTTAATAAAATAAAACTAAAATTTAAATAAAAATATTTTGATAGTTAGGCACAGAATTAGCGTTTTATTTAAAAAATTTTGGGAAATGGGTTGTTAAAACAATTAAAAATTATTTCCTCAATTTATTGCCATTACTAGTAAGTTCGTCAGATCCGTTTATGTTTCAAATATCGGATCCGGATATTCGAAGATTTCCAACTATCCGACAGTCTTAATTACTAGTGCTATTCACTACCGGTTATTAAGCAATATCCTTGGTTTTCTGTTAATTCAGATTCTAAAAACCCGGTTTTCGGACAATAAATTTAGGTTTTAAGATTTTATAAAAACGTTTAGGTTTTGGAAAAATTTTTGGTTTTAGAACCGTTAGCCCCAAGAATTAATATATTTAATTAAAATTTGATTATTAGCCGTGCTAGAATTAATAAATTTCTAATTAAAATTTAATTTAATTATTAACTGTGCTTAAAATTAAATTTATTTAAATTTGCTTAACAATTTTTTTGAGTTTTTTAATAAAATTTTCAATTTTGGATGAGCTTTATGTTTGGATGGCTCAAATTTAGTGTGTTTGTTTAAATGCTTCCAATTGCCTAAAAGTGAACTAAAAATGAAATAGTAAAATTTTTATTTGGCCAACAATCATTTTACTTGTCTTTTTCACATTAATTTCTAAATTTGATATTTTTTTGTTGGAATTTTTTGTTTGGATTTTGTTTTTTGGTTTGTTAACTCTCTCCTCTTTATTTTAGTTATTCGAATGCTTTCCATGCGTAAATTAACTGAAAAGAGAGAAAATTAAAGCCGATATTTTATTTAAATGTGTTCATATAGTAACAGAACGTCAGCTGGGAACAAAACAAAACGGCAAAACGGTGACTCCACTAACAACGCCGATCCCGGATAGCTTTAGGATATGCTTTACCATATTAATACAGTATATTATTTACTTCTTTATTTTTGCTTTTTTGTTAATAAAAATTTCACAAAATATTTTTATTTATTCTGAGTGGCCTAAAATTTGAGCTTTGTTCTAACAAATCTTAATTTTGTTCTAAAATTTTACTAGGTAATTTAAAATTTAATATACTGTGCATATTTAATTAAATAAATCCATGGGATTTAATGCCTGTTGGTTGCTCTCAACTGACGACAACAGTACTTTTTACTCAATTTTTGCTCTTTTCTTCCTAATTATTTTGGATTATTTTTTCAGTTCATATTTCGGTACTTTATGGATATGTCACCCCCCTCCTATTTTGAGTCTCAGAATTTTCCTTATGCGTAGAAAATGGTCAGAGCTTATTTTCTTCTCCGTGTCAATCATTTTTTTCTCCAAGCAAAATAAGTGAAATGTGGAAACGAAATGAGTGAAATTAATTCAAAAATATGTGAAAAAGCAAAATAAAAAAGCAAAATACTTGAAGAAGAAAAAAATGATTGACATGGAGAAGAAAATAATCTCTGACCATTTTTTACGTTTAAGGAAAACTCTGAGACTCAAAATAGGAGGGGGGGGGGTGACATATCCATAAAGTACCCATTCTTTTTCTTGTTTTTTCATTTTTCACCTATTTACACAAATCCAAGTTTTTTACATATATTTGAATTCAATTTCAGATATTTAAATGTCTTCTACCAAATTTATTTGTGTTGTTTGTTCTGAACCTTTAACTTACAAAAATATGTATTCAATTATATGTGGGCATGTTTTTCACATTGATTGTATTAAAAGTTGGATCCTTCAAGTAGAGAATGGGACTGGGCCATTAGGGCACGGGGCCATTAGGGCACGGGGCCATTAGGGCACGGGGCCATTAGGGCGCGAGCTTATAAAACAGTGAGTTGCTTATCAAAAAAGATAAAATTTTGCAATAATAACTCTCATGCCTTTATCTACGTTCTCCAAAAATTTCAGAATTTTTGATCAAGAATTTCGAAAATTGTGGCCAAAAATGTTGATTTTCCGAAAAAACCCTAATTTTTCGCGGTTTATCGACTATAACTTCAGAAATATTCGATGAAAAATTCTGAAATTTCTGGAGGAGGTAGTCAATAATGTTAAAGAAATTTGAGAAAATTTCCATAAATTTCGGTTTCGCCTAAGTGTCAGTTTCTAATGCTGGCGCCCTAATGGCCCCGCGCCCTTATGACCCCAACCCGTAGAGAATTTATTTGTAAATTTAAATTTATTTTTTTTTCCATTTTAGAAAAATTATTGCCCCAAATGTTGGAAAAATGCAGTTTTGAATGATATTAGACAAATTTTTCTCGAAGAAGAATCTCCTGGTTATTCCGGCAATGTAAAGAATAAATCAGAATCAAATACAATAAGGGTAGCTTCCAAGAATTAACATAATTTTTGAGATGAAGTGAAATGTGTATTAAGCTTTAAGAGCAGGCATTAAGTTTAAGTTAAAAAACTTAATTTATAAGCAAAGTGGTATCGGTATTTCGGTAAAAATACCGCGGTATTACCGAAAAATACTGCGGTAATACTGTACCGTGACCAACACTAACACTAATAAATCTATTAAATATGTTAATCTACTGTAAATTATAGGAAAAATTAGTTAAATTTATCAATATTTAAATGATATTATTTCAGTTATATGTTAAAACACTTACTGGCAAAACTATAGTTCTTGAAAATGTAAAAATTACTGATAATATTCTTGTTGTTAAGAGTATGATAGAATATATTGGAGGAATTCCACCGGATCAACAACGTTTGGTTTGTAAATCAGAAATTTTTGTGTTATTAAACTAGTGATAGTCAAATATTCAGTTGAGTTTCGTTACTATTTATTGATTAAGTATAGCATCGAAACCGACAATACTGCCCGGAATCGGGAATTATAATATAACAAATCCAATAGACACACAGTTTTTTCAGCCAAAAATCCCTACTATAAAACCCATTTTAGTCAAATAAATACAAAAAAATGAATTGTTAAAAGGAATTATTCATAAATTATTTTAATTATTAAAATTCTAATATTCTTTTTGATTAATACCGTTTATTTTTAGATATATAACAAAGTTCAGTTTGAAGATGGTCGTACATTAGTTGATTATGATATCAAGAATGGTTCAACTATTTCTTTAATTTTGAGATTAAGTGGTTGTTGATGTAATGATTTTTTGTAATAAAACATGATACTTACGGAATTTTTTAAAATATAAAATTGTTTCATTCATTTAATGATAAATTTGTTGGATTATAATCTTGTTACAAATAAAAAGAACGGTGCTATTTAGTAAAATTGATCACGAGATAAAAAATTAGGCAAAAATAAGATGAGTGTCTAAAAATATTTTTTCTCAAATTTTCTGACCATTTTGGCCAAAGTTAAAATTTGAATTTCGGGAGTTGGTGGTACCATACCCAGTGGGTACCATACCCAAATTTGATGTTCAAGATCTCATTCAAACAAATATTTATAATTTTTGGGCATATTTACATTTATCGAGAAATATTTTAAGAAAAAAATTTATAAAAAATATTTGCGTTCTGATAATTTAAAAAGATTAAATTAAATTTTGATAATTTTTCCAATCAGTAAACACCGGGCTATACATATGTCTCGCATTGGAATATGCTACTGGGAAACGGAGAGCAAAAAAATCCTTCCATTATGTACATATTAAAAAAAGAAGAAAAAAAATTTAAAATGTGGGCTGATAACAGGAAAGTCCAAAATTCTTTTGATTTTCACAAAACTTTCATGACATGTCCTAAAAAATTTTATTAAATTAATTTCTTTTCCTTGTTAAAGTGAAATGTAGGAAAACTTAGAACTGCAAAGTATTTATAAGGCAATCTGACTTTTTAAAATAATTTTTGGGTTAGGAAAATAATTTTACATGTAGGATCTATGGCTATCTATGCCTAGCTCATCTATTAAAATATTAGTGGACAATAGAGCTATTTCCAAAATTTCTAGTGGAAAAGAGAAAAAATAGGTCCAAATTGTAATGTTTTTATTGAATCAGGAAAATATTTAATAAATCCTATTGTTTAGTTCCTCTTGTTTTTTCTTTGCCTTTGATTGTCTAAGCATATTTTGACTAACAGGAAAGGAAGATTAATATTTAAACTCAAATAAGGAGGGGAGGGGGGGGGTGGAGGGTTATATATGATTAAGTACCTTAGTTTCGTTGTTAATCGTCTTTTACTTTTTCCTCAATTACTTCAACAATTAAATTAGTAGGATGTTTTTCCTCCCATTTTTTGATCAAATTATCGTGAATTTTATTAAATGTTTTGGTAAATCTAATGTTTAATAAATAAAATTATAAAAATTAATTTTTGTTGTAACCACACAACAATAACAAGGGGAAAACAGAAGGGTTATTTCAAATAGAACTGTAATAAAAACGGGCACTGGAATACTTTTTGAGGGTAACTTTAAGGAGAATTATTAGTTGAAGAGTATCAGACATAACAGGAGTATAACAGAACTAAAATTTAAATAATATTATACATACTTTCCTCTGAGAATTTTTTCAATGCCATATTCAAATATTTTGTGATATATTATATTTCCTTGATGGACATTAGCATACATGGCATAACTTGGCTCCGTTGAAAGTGGGAGATTATCAATATATTTTTCATCATTGGAATTCATCATATTCTCGGCAAATGATAATTTACTTGAAAATTTATAACCTCTTTCTACACCTCCAATATAAAAATATTTCTCAGTTTCTCCAATTTTCTCTTTTTCAACTTGAAAATAATTTAATTTTAATCCCTCAGCAACATAATTTTGATCATCTCTATAGGGCAAACAAAATATTTCAACATTAAATGCAATTGCTTCTATTACTTGATTTCTATTGCAGTTTATGATTAACAATTTTGTTGTTCCTTTTACTAAAATATTTTTGTGAAATAAAATTTTGGAAAAATTTTTTTATTAAACAATGACTGAGTTTGAGTACCTGTTATGTATCGACTTGCGGTGTGTCCGATACTAACAGAAGAGATTTGACTAACAAACAAAGCTTTATCACAAAGCAACAATATAATAGAAATAAGCGAGACTATGCGTTGGCTGCGTCTAGAATAATACTAACACTAGACTAACTGTAGACTGACTATTAACTCACCGACTACTAAAAGGCTTCGCCTTTTATACTAAACACGCCACCCTAACAGTACCAATCTCTGTTATGACCTGGAACTTTCGATGAAGCTGATAAACACTTCCACAAAGGTTCATCTCGCAAAGAGAAATTCAAGGGAAGCGAATACACAAAAATCGGGATGACAGAGATTTTTGAAGGAAATCTCATTTATTCTTATCTCTATGACAAACATTTATTCTCTCAGTTTAATTTCCCGAAAAATAATTTAAATTCAAAACAATACCCAATTCTTTTGTTAAATCAGGGATTTTCTGAATATTAAATCTTTCATGAAATATTCGACCCTTCAATTCCTCAATTTTTTGTTCATTATTTTCAATTATTTCTTTAATTTTTTCAATTTTAACTTCAATTTGTTCAATTTCAACTTTTTTATTTTCAATCTCCTTTTCCAATTTTTTTGTATATTTTTCAATTTCTTCATTAATTTTTTTAATTTTAGCTTCAACACTTTGTCTACTTTCTTCCTTTCCTATTTTATTTTCATAACCCTTCAATTCATTTTTATATTCTTCAAGGTTTTTTATTTCTCCTCCACATTTTTCTAATTCTTCGAATAATTTGTGATAATTTTCTATAAGTTGATAAATTTCGTTATAATCCTCAACCTTTTTTTGATTATTCTTTTTTAATATATTATCCGTTTTTTCTTGCATTTCTTTATCAATTTGTTTCATCTTTTCTATTAAATTTATCTTTTTTTCATAATCTCGTTTAATATTATAATATTTAATTATATTATCACGTTTTATGTAATAATTATTTAATTGTTCTGTTAATTCATTCTCATTAATTTTATTTTTAATCTCTTCTATTTCATAATTTTCTTTTTCAATTTTATTTTTTAAATTCTTAATTTCTTCTTTATTTTGATTTTTTTCATTCAAAATTCTTTCAATTTTTATTTTTATATTTTCCTCACCTTTTTTAATTTTTTCAATTTCTTTCAAATTAACTTCGTTTTTACCATCAATCTCCATATTTTCATTAATTTTACAATCATATATAAAATTAAATTCCCCAATTTTCAACGTTTTTTCATAAATTTCATTAAAAACATTCATTACTTTTCTGCCTTCTCCGTAAAAAATTTTTTCACAATTTTCTATACTTATTATAATTTTGGTACGTTTATTCTTCTCACATTTCTGTTGCTTAAGTAAAATTAAAATTACTATATTTTTGACCGTATAAGATACTTATAACTCAACTACAGTCCAATCAAAATTTAAAAATTTGATTAAAATATAAAAGATTATCATAATATTTTTCAATTAACCAATAAACTACTTAAACAGATTTTAGCTGTCAGACAGGATTTCCATTAGTTCCTAATGGGCAAATAAGCTAATCGGAAAAATAATTTGTGGATCTAGCAGATTATATAGTAAAACTGACTCCAGACATTCCATGAAAGTGTAAGGCAGAGAAAGATTCAGCTGGCTAGCATTTAAAACGCTCACTATACGCGGGTTTAAGATCTAATAAAAGAGTAGGTGAAAGCAGCGTCCCGGTAGCTCAGTTGGTAGAGTATTTGTACGTGGTGAGCAAAAGCGCCTAGCATTGACTGCCGGGACGTCGCAGGATCGAAGTCTGCCCGGGATTAAACTTTTACCTCGCTTTTACTATGCATATAAATTGATATTGGTGACACAATCATTTTTTAGCCTATTTGATTTTCTCCCAGTCTATAAAATATTTCAAGCTATGTATGATTAATTAAAAAAATGGAAATCGAGTCACAAGTTCCTAAATTTGTCTAAAACTACCTCATTCAATTTTTAACAATTTTTATTTCAAAATTTTTACCTTTTTAATTATTTTTGGATCCAATTGAAATCCCCCAACATAATATAAATTATCTGGTTTGCTATCACCTAACGGAAAATCAACCATTTCATCACTATTGATAAAGATTGCCTTTATATTTTTATAAAGCTGGCTAATTGTTAATGTTTCATTTTCCCTCTCATAAAGTTTCTCAAAAAATATAAAAAACATTGTTAAAATATAATTTTCATTATTTTCTTCATCAAACTTCATTAACATTTCCGAAAATTTATAAAGTTTAAAATAAAATATTTCATTCTCTAATTTATCTTCAATTTGATTTTTTAATTGTTTTTCCAAAAATTTTGGATATTCTCTCAAAATATAATCGACATCTGTTATTTTGTTGTTTTTTATTTCAATTTCCAAATTTTCTAAAAATTTTGCCCATTTATGATCCTCAAGCTTTTTTAATTTATTTTTTAATTCTGATTCATGTTTACTATCATAGCGGAATCCACCATGGATAATTAAATGATTAAAAATATCATTTAAGTTTCCTTTTATTTTTGATAATTTTTCCAAAATTCCTATCACATTTGACCAAATATTTTCTTTCATTTTTCCCTTTCTATTTATAAATTGTTCTAATAATCGCTCTCTTAAAATATTTTTATATACAAATAAAATGTTTTCTTCATTTTCTTTTTCGTCATTGAAATCTTCAGGAATATCATTAAATATTTCATTATTTTGTAATTTTTGAACAAAATTGTAGTATTTAATTTCCCATTTTTTATACAATTTGTTCTAAAATTAGTAAATAAGTATTTAAATTTTATTTATCAAAATTGTGCCAAATAAAATACGAGTAACTTTGGAAGCCACATACATGGAGACGAAAACATAAGTGTTAATTTCTCGATTATCATGGGCTCATAATGGTTAAATAGAAAATTTAGATTGAAATATATTGTTTTTTAATTATAAAGTTTATTCATACCAAAGGGTATACAGTATACCACTAAAATGGATGATTATGTGAAAAAAATATGTCAAGTTGTGATTACAAAGAATGGTAGGTTTTTTGAAATTTTATAAATGGGAGAGAATAAATTTTTTTAAAGGAGTAAAATAATTTCGAAAAATTCTCAAAAAGTTAATTTTTTTCGAAAAATTTTAAAAATTTTCGCTAGCGGCGCAAA